AGGGTCCCAGAGCGCAGGTCATCCTGAAATACCCGAGGAACACAGACTAGCCTCTCTGCAAACCTGCCATTGTACAGAAGACTTAGAAAGATTTCCCCCCTTCTTTTTTTTAAAGGCAAGTCTGATGTGGACTGTCGGCGTATTGTCTGACAAGGTTATCATTTGACTTTTTTTTTTTTTTTTTTTTGAGGCACAAGTTGAAACTCCCTCATATGAATGGACAAGGTTATTTATTTTGTGCCAAAGATGAGCCGTTCTTAGGGGTGAGTGGCATGCTGTCTTCAGCCCAGCCCCCTTCTTCCTGCGTAGGTGAAAAGATCTTATTATTCTGATAATTGATGCTGAGGGCCGTGGCGGGCCTCATTTAATCAGCACTGTTCAGCACACTCCAGGGATGTAATTCATGCACACTTTAACATCCAACATGGCTGACAAGCCTTGGACACACAACCGAATGGCTACATCATTTTTTAATCAGCTATCTGAGGCCTATTTATCTAATCAACAAAGAGCTCCGTCAGATGGAGACCAGAGGTGACGTTAATAAGTCTGTAGTTTCAGGGTGTGGTGATGGAAGCCGATTTTAGGATGAAGCCTTGGTTTTTAGAACACTCCGATGGGCTGATGGGCATTTTTCATGTACTTCCCAGGCCCTGGTTTGCAGATTCTAAAGGTAGAAATGTGCTTTCCAAAGATGAGGTTCAGAGATGAAGATTAATATTAGGAAATAAAAATAAAAATGAGCTAGGACCTAGAAAAGCAAGGTACCTGAAATTCCTGCTTAAAAACCCAATTGGAAAGTTCTCTCCGATGGTATAGACACAGATGTTGAGAGAGAGCCTACAAAAACAAGGTGATGTGCAATAATTGGGAATCATTAACTTTAAATGATTCCCAGTAACCCAGACTCAGCACAAGGCGGCTATTTGTACATTCTCCCCTTCTTACCCTCTTTGAAATGATCTTGGCTGTCTGTTAATAATTAGGAGGCGTTACGACACGCTTTGTTTGGTCATCCAGCTGCAGTTCTCTTACAGAAAGGCCAAGTGTGTGAAAAAAAGAAAGAAACTTCTCCAAAAATTAACATTCATAGCCATATTTTTTTCCATCGAGATTATGATCCAGGATGGACAGGATTTGGCTCAAGAGTCCTTCAGACCCCCAACAGAGTCACCTTTCTACTGAGCCCTAGCTGTGGTACACAATAACTATGTATAGTGGGGACAGAAGCAGATTGCCTTAGGGAGAGGGAGGCCAAAAGTAGCATCAGGTTTTCAGCCAGGACACACAAGGTAAATTGTCTGAAGGGGAGTTAGTTTACTACCCAAGTCCAGATGGTGCCCCAAAATAGCACTTTCTTTACCATGGGATTTAAAAGACTACAACGATCTGGTTAGGCCCCATAGCAGAAATTACATACACTGTGGCCTCTTTATTAATGCTTCCCATCCTTTCTTCTCCCCCCAAAAGGGAAAAGGTCATTGGGTGCCTTTATCCTGTTCACATTAGCCCTGTTCACCACACCACCCTTCAAAAAAAAAAAAAAAAAGACTGTTTGCAAACTTATTCGGCTACCTTCATGTTGGATTCATGGTGTGCCCCTTCCTCCCCTCCGTGTTTTTTAATTAGAAGAATCTTTTAATTAATTCCTTTTTTTTTTAAGAAATATGGCCAATAGTGATGGAAGAGGGAAGTGAAATATTTAATTTTGAAAAGGCTTGACTGTTTCCCCTTTGATATTTCTTTCATTAGAATCTATTTATAAGATGCTGAAATTTCACATTGGATCAACAAAAAAATTGGTTGATGAGCTATGCAGCGTTGGCCTATGTTATAGCACCATTATACAAATTGTTGGTAGCACAGGGTGATTTGGGATCAGCAAGGCACAGATAATGACTTATTGGGCCCACCCAGATTGGGATTCAGAATGCACCAGTTAATTTGCAGACCAAAGCAATAGGAATTTAATCTCAACCATCTCAATTCTGGTCGGTTAATTAGTCTATACCAGATCTAAGACTATATTTTGTGTGTGTGTGTCTGGTGGCACTAAAAAATCACTCACCCTAAAAATTTAGTTTTAAACGGGCATCGTGAAAATTTATTAATAGTAGTGACTAGATTAAGGAAAATAGAATACAGTAACCCAGCAAAAAGGAACCATGGTGAATTTCATGTATTACCCTTTCACATTCATATTGATAATAGTTAAAGGCCTGGTATTTTTTTTTAAAGTTGAGTTTTTATGATGTGCATTTATCACAATATCAAAATATATTGGGCTCTTTTTGAAAGAACTTTTCAGCAGTGAAAATCTTTTTTTTTTTTTCATCAGAATATTTTCCCCCACTGGGAAGAGTTGAAGGTGTTTCATATCAGGTTTCCATTGTGATCCTCTTGAGTTAGAGAATCTGACTAAAGCGTAACGGGCTGATTTCACCTCTAACAAGAGCCACACAAATTGGGAAGATTATTCTTCCTTATTCTCCATGAGGAGCAGGCGCCATCGAAGAGGCAGCTGGTATGGGCCTGGTTAGGAAGAGTGGGAGCGTCCTGGCTGCCAGGGTCCCAGCAGCACTCTTTGGCATCCCCTGAAGTTTTGCTGGTGATAATCAAATTGTATTTTCTTGGAGAGGAGCCCCTGGAGAAGGGGACTTGGAGCTATCAGTGCCATGGGAGACAGATGCTTGTAGCAGGACCTCCACATCAGGCCGGAAAAGTCAATTGCTTAAAAGGGAGAAAAAAGCCAGGCACCTTGCACATTAAAATTGATTATTTCATCAATAGGTTAATAGAAAAGCAGGCTGCATGTTCACTTTCTCCTTCTCCATCCATACTGTAATAGGAGAGGGAAGTCTGAAAAATGAAAGACGTCAGACTGAGGGTGGGGGAAGCTTCTAAGTGTGTGCTGGAGGTCCCTCCCTTCCAGAGGGTGCTCGTCCTGGGCTTGGCCTATTTATATGTAAATGAGTCCGGGAAAAGGAAAGTTGGAAGCCACCTAATGGAGCTGCTTGAGGTGTAGGGACTTTCCGGAATTCCTAAGTGTTCAGGAAAACAAGAAACCTTGAATATTGAAATAATTGAGCATATCCATAGCTCAGGAAAGCCATCTCTCATCTAAAGGGGTAGTCACTTATTCCTTACAGCATTGCTGAAGGAAATACTGGATCCCTCCCCAAGGGTCAGTCAATCAACAAGCATTTCTTTAGCACCTACTATGTGCCAGACGTGGTGCCTAGTACTGGGCGTACAGAGAAAGGCAAGATCATGGTCTTTATTCTGAAGGAGCTCACACTCTGGGTCTAGTGGAGGAGTTCGTTCTGTAACAGCAGGAAATTCATAGTGGAACACATCTAAAAATCAATTTGTTGTGTGGCTTGATACCAGAGACACTGTTGATAGCATATTTTCACTTATAATTAAATGTTGGTTCACGGCCCTCTTTATGTTTAATGTGGAATGCCTACCAATGATTCTCCTGGCTGGCATAGGTGGCCTAGTCCAGTCAATAAATAAGGAAATCCTTCCTCTTATTAAAAGCAGTCACCTTCAGAACCTTCTAAACTGGGAGCTGCGGGGGTTTGACCGCCTCGGGCAGCCCTTTGATGGAATGTCATGTCTCTGCTTTGTGCTCTGTATATGAGTGGTGTGGGAGGGATGATGGGGAGGGGATGGGATGGGAACCTTAACGTTGTGCGTGATGGGGACAGTGTCGCTTTGCGAGAGAGGGTCATTCTGGGTCAGTCAGTGGTAGGTAAACTAAGACATGGGGAGGGCCAAGTTCAGAAAGATTTCACTCTCCTTAGTCATTTAAACCACCACAACCACACCCCATCCCCCCCGTGGCTCCTCATGGCATCTCCCAGCAGAGAAGGGTCTGGTGAATTCTCCCGAACTGGAAGGGTTTGGAGCAGTTCAATGACAGGAGGCCTCCTACGTCTAAGGACCAGTTGGGCTACGTAAGTCTGGAGAAATTCTTGACCAGGTTATCTGCAAGGGGGAGGTGGGGGGTGGGACTTCTTCACCAATGATGGTAGATGCTGCTGCAGCTATGCCAGAGGGAGCATAGTGCAAACCCGCGAACGTAGCGCAAAGCTGAAACAATTGTGGGAAACGGGGGATTCCAATCGATAGCAGGAGGCGCGTATTTCCTTCATGCTCATGCAGTTGTTGAGTATTTCTGTTTTAGTCTGTCAATATTGTGCATCTGCTGTAGGCCAGGCATTGTGCTGGGTTCTGGGGGTAGCAAGGCAGAAATGAAAAGGGCCCCACTCTCATGGTCCTTTGGGGCAAGCAACCTGTGCCCAGAAAATAAATATGAGTAATGTCAGAGCATGTGCGCGTGTGCATGCTTGTGCATGCGTGTGTGTGTGTGTGTGTGTGTGTGTGTGTGTGTGTGTGTG